GAAGCTACCAACATGAATTTGACCCAACTCTGGTAGGCAGTGGAAGATAGGAGGGCCTTGTGTGCTCTGGTCCATGGGGTCATGAAGAGTCGGACACGACTTAACAACTAAACAACAACAACAACAAGAAGAAAGAGCATAGCTCTAAGAGATTTGAATCAGAAAGAGTGGGAAATCTGAAGAGGTCATGGTTGCTTTTGCCATTTAGATAGCTAAGGCACTTGCAAATTAGTCTAGGTGTAATTTCCATCTGTTCATGTTGAGGACAGAACTTAAGTGTTACATGTTCTCTGGCTAAGCACAGGCCAAAGGCTCTCTATGTGAATGCTTGTCTCCATGTATTTGTCTCTATCGTTGTGTGCACATGTAAAAAGTTAGTGCACCCCCAAACCACAGAAACTTCTGTTCTTACATCTGTTGGAGCCTTGCCTACTTACATCATTATCATCATCATCAAACAGAAAAATTTGTTGGGAAAGTGTGAAGGCAAGAGAAGAAGGGGATGACAGAGGATGAGATGGTTGGACAGTGTCATCGAAGCGACCAACATTATTTTGACCCAACTCTGGGAGGCAGTTGAAGAAAGGAGGGCCTGGCGTGCTCTGGTCCATGGGGTCACGAAGAGTTGGACACAACTTAACAACCAAACAACAAAATGACGCAGACAAGCCTGCCCAAGTTCTTAATGCCTTGGGAAACTGGTGTCATCATCACACAAGCTAAAATATGTATCCCACCTACCGTAGCCTCCTCATCCGGCCATGCAGCTAGTGGAGAGCCACCTTTTCGATCCTCTCACCTTTGCACGTAGGGATGCTCCAGAGCCTCTTCAGCAGTTAGGCGCTTCTCAGGATTAAATACCAACAGCTGTTTCAGGAGGTCCAGGGCCTGTGGAGGTGTTGACGATGGTAAAAGATCTTCAAAAGTCATCTGCTGCCTGCAGAAGATATCCCGACACTTAAATCCATACACTGCAGCCAACTCTGCTGCCCAGCACCTGTGACACTGCCTGAGATACCCTCTTGGGGATTATTTTATTTTATTTTATTTATTTATTCGATTTTTACCCCGCCCCTCTTATAGCAGTTCAGATCTGAGTTCAACTCTACACTTGGCCCTGGAAATTCAACATGGCAGTGGGAACCATGAAAACCTCATCAGAGTCACTGCAAGTCATAAAGGACTTGGCAGCCCAGAACATAACAAGCCAAACAGAAGTCGATGAATGGAAACATACATTAACAATTCTTATTTTAAAACCCAATAAGGATCAAACAGATTTGGGATCCTATAGACTCATATTTTTAATAAACCAAGATGCTAAGATTTTTACAGCTATATTGGCAAATAGACCTATGTGGTTTTATTAAGGATAGACAAATGGATAATTTAACTAGACGAGTTTTAGACGTTTCATATGAAATAGAAAAAGAAAAAATAAAAGCAATGATTTTATCATTGGATATATTTAAAGCTTTTGATTGTGTTGAATGGCCAACACTAAAACTTCTTATAAGGGGTTGGGGATTTGGTAAAAAGTTTAGAGGGGTTATAGATCAATTATACTCAGATAATACTTCAGAAGTAATAGTTAATGATGGTTTAACAGAAAAGATTTTTCTAGGCTGAGGTACAAGACAAGGCTGTCCACTTTCATCAATATTGTTTTGTATGGTTATAGAATTGTTAGCTACCGCAATAAGAAACGATAAATCAATCAAAGGAATAGGTAAAAATGATATAATTAAAATTAATTTGTTTGTTGATGATTCATTATTGGCTATTAAAAACCCATTAGAGTATGGAAAACATCAAAAACCATTTAGAAAAATTTGGAGAAATAACAGGATTAATGATTAATTGGCAAAAATCACAAATGATGAGGTTTAATTATAATACACAGGAACAAGAAACGTTTGTGAATAAATATAGTGTTAAAATGTGTAATCATATCAAATATTTAGGTATAAACATAGAACAACTCAAAAATTAAAGGAGAAAAATTTCAATAAATTAAAAAATGAAATTAAAGATAAATTGCAAGAGTATTCTAAATTGAAACTATCATGGTTTGGGAAAATTGTTATAATCAAAATGAAAATATTACCAAAGATTATTTTCTTATTTAGGATGCTCCCAATACAACTAGAAGAAGAGGATTTTAAGTATTGGCAGGGATTAATTAATGGATTTTGTAATCAAGGTAAAAAATCTAGAGTAAATAAAAGACATTGGTATAAGGCCCCCCAAAAAGGAGGTTTGGATATGCCTAATGTTAAAAATTATTATATAGCAAATCAATTAAGGGTTATTGGAAATATTATATATAAAAAGAAAACCTAATTTGGTGGGAGATGGAATCTTCAGAAATAAATGGGAATGATGAAGGACACTTGTTTAATGTTGTAAAGAGAAGTTTAATAAATCAGATGAAAACCCCCCTTTTAAGAAATATGTTAAATATATGAAATAAATATAAAGAAAAGTTTTGGCCCTCCACCATTAAAATTAGTGACTGAAATAGAAAGTTTTCCTTCAAATTTAAAGGTTTTAGTAGAACTGTTTAAGAATAAAAGGGTTGCAAGACTGAAGGACTGGATGAACAAAATGAGATTGAAGGAGTTGATTTATGTCTAAACTTCAAACTAATAAACTATCATGGTATAATTTTATTCAGTTAGACACCTCAACAAAGGATTGGTTAAGAACTAATGGCAAATGTAGAGAACTTACCAAATACGAACAATTTCTGTAATCACATGAAGATATGTAACATACAATTTGGAAAGGAATAGTAAATAAAATATAAAATATAATTTTGGAACAAGAGGAAAAAGAATGGGGAACAGAAGGTTTCAAATTAATTTGGGAAATGATTTAAAAATAGAAATTAAAATAGAGGATTGGATAAAAATGTGGAGGATGAGAGTTAAAATAAGATACTGTAACGTGGCTTAGTCTCAATCATAGACATACAACAGTATGGTTCACACAGAACCCTTTAAAGTAAAGCACAGACCCTGAACCTATCAGTTCTGGCTACCTATAAAGAAACCTGAACCTATCAGGTATGTACAAACTGACACACAGTTGTACTCAGTCTGACACACAGACTCCAACTCCTCAACTCCACACCAGCTCTAAATATATATACAGTACAGCTCCTCCCCCTGATGTCCCGCCTTCCACTCCCCATAGGATGGAACTTTCCCTCCAAACCCATGACAGACAGGTACCATCAGTGCTGTATGTTACAATAATCTCTAACAATTTTTGTATTTGGGGAAAATTTGTAGAATTTGTGTTAGTGAAAGGAAGGGGGAAAGCCTCTAAACAAAATTCTATACAATTTTGGAAAGGTAGTCCGTAATTAAAATATTGTTAAATGGAGTCCTGTGGGTATGGGGTGCACGTTAGAATTTAGTTTATAATAAGCACTATTATTTGTATTTTTTTGTATTTTTGTGGGGTTTTTTTGCATTAAAAAAATGAAAAGGGGGAAAAAAAGTCGATGAGAGAAAACTCACCGGCAACTCATGCGGTTGATAATGGAGGCTCTGTAGTCTGAATGGAAAGCGGCCACATCTGCAACGGAAAGCCAGCTGGTCAAGCTACTGTGTCATTGGAAATTCCCCAGAATTAATTAGCAGCTGAGCTGCAGGGGAGGAAAAGCTGTGGTGCCAACCAAAACAGATGGTATGATCCACTCCAAAAACAACAACAAAAGGTTGCAGAAATTCTTAGCTTTAAAGGTTGTCTTTCAATGAGGTAAATCACTGTTGTATACTCATTGTTTTCAACTTTAAATACAGTATTGTCTTTCAATGATGTAAGCCACTCTGGGTCCTTTTTAAGGAGAAAGGTGAAGTAAAATATTTTAAACAAACAAACATCTGCTGCCTTTTCCCTTGAAGAATCCTAGAAAGAGGCCAGAAGGTCTGGCATGAACAGATCAGTCTGGAGGCTTAGCAGGTCTTCTTTGCAGAAGCATCAAGCTGCACAGTGTTGTAATGTATGGCATCCTTTACCAGGCATTCCCATTAGGTTCTAAGAGGCTGCTGATCTAACAGGAGGCAGAACTTCATCTGTCCTGGCACAATGCATGTAATGAGCTCGATTCAAAGCTATCGTCCAGCAACCTACTGCATAACAAGTACCCCCCTGTCCCCAGTCCTTGGGAGAATGGTCTTCAGCTAAACCAGTGGTTCTTAACCTTCGGTTAGTCAGGTGTTTTTGAACTGCAACTCCCAGAAACCCCAGCCAGCACAGCTGGTGGTGAAGGCTTCTGGGAGTTGCAGTCCAAAAACACCTGAGTAACCCAAGGTTAAGAACCACTGAACTAAACCATTCCCTGATGTCAAAAAGGTTGGGGACCACTGATTTAAATGGTCTGCAGAGGTTCATCGCTAAGGTTAATGAACAAAGTCTGAAGTGAAAATTAAAGAAACCATGTTCATGATAACAAGAAAGCAAGCAGCCAAGGAAATGTAGTTAAAATGAAAGTCTGGAAATTTGGTAAGAATGTAACAAATTACAAAACCTTAACATTTTATAAAACAATAAACAGAACAAGGGCTTTCTTCAGAACCACCACTAGGAAAAATAAGGAGAGTTTTAGCATCATAGGTACATATAAAATACTTTAACGTGCCTGAATGAATAATTTTTCCTAATGCCTCAACTTGAGTAAAGCTGATGCTTCACACTGAGTTCTCTCCTTTCTAAATATTTCTGCAGAAAAATGCTAATCAATGATCTCAAGGGGCGGGAGACTGGCACTGGGTGGAAGGGCTTGGGTCCCAAGTCATTTAGGCCAAGGGTCCCTAACCCCCGTCTGAGGCCCGGTACAGGGCCGTGACCTTGGCAGGACCGGGCGGCAGAGGCAGATCTCCCACTGCCCTGCACGCACGGCCTGCCCACCCGCACGCACAGGTGGCCCGCCCATCCCCTGCCCCTGCCTGATGCGCATGTGGGCAAGCATGCCCTGCCCCCGCCCATGTGAGCACGTGCCGCCCACATGCAAGCACGCCCTGCGCACCCATGCATGTGTGCACCCCACCCACCCGTGCATGCATGCGCATCCCCCCGCCCACTCACATGTGTAGGGGTGTCCCCTCCCGTGCATGGGCCCAGCTCCCCCAACCAGTCCACGGTTTGGAAAAGGTTGGGGACCACTGATTTAGGCCAATTAATGTCAATCTGGCCCTTTGATTTGGTTCTTGAAGCAAGCAGATAACCAGTGGTCCTTTAAAACTGACCAATCATACCCAAGCCCCAAACCTAGAGCAATCACTAGATGGACGTTTCTGCCAAACTGTGAGCTGGAGGATAAAAAGACAGAGAAAAAAGAGAGTGAGCTGTCCCCTCCCACGTCTAAGGAGGAGGACAGTAATAGTGGTGTAGAAAATATGACAGGAGACGTGAAAAGACTAGAGACAGGAGAAAAAGAGGAGAAGCCTAAGAAGCAGAGGAAGGGGGTGTTCCTGACATCGGAGGAGAGAGATAAGTCTGGGGAGACAAAGAAAGTGGTTGTGTGGGAAGAAGAAAGAGGAAGGGGAACCCCAAATCTTTAAAACACTCGAGAAAGGGAGAGCAAGAGATGAAACATGAGGAGTGGTAGAAAGAGAAAGAAAAGAGTAGGACTAAAAATACCACTGGTATTATTTTTTTGAAACTGTATTTTTTTTCTCCAGTAAGATCAAGGACCCTTCATTAGATAACATGTTAATTGTTCTGTTGGTTTTAAACACTTTTTCTAAATAAGTGTAAGCAAACTGAAAACAGAAACCATTGCATCACCATTTTTGGTCACCTTTGCCAGTAAGCTGTGGACTTGAGAACAAAAGTGAACATCTACCAAAACGTAGATGGTCTACAATCCATTGGTCTACAATCCACGGCCACATGAAAAAGATACTGAGACTTCCTAACATTTTTCACTCATCTTCCAGGAAGCTTAATTAGCAACATCCTGCTAGTTAAGGTTTTTGGTACTGATGGTCATCCTACCTCACACAATGCCCCAGGTCCCTATCTACTTCCTGACGGATCTGCCCCTTACCTGAATAACAAACCGACTCACCTTCTGGGGAGGAGGGAGGAACAACTCTCAGGATCTGCTCTATCTGGTTGACTGTGGATGTGCCAGGGAAAAGGGGCTTCCCCAGGAGCATCTCCCCCAAGATACAGCCAATGCTCCACATGTCCACCCCTTTGGTGTAGCTGCAGAGAAGGAAAAGAAAATGGGTAAGTGACCTGCAGTGGGGCTGCATTCCTCAGGTCACGAAACCAGCCCTCATGGCTAGAACATGGTATCCCATTCGGCTCCTCCTGGGTTCTACTATCAGAGGTCATCTGTAATCCTAGTCTCTAAGCTTTCCCCCCTTATTTCCCATTGGAATGGGCCTCTTCCATTTCTCAGATTTTTGTGATGATAATCCACTTGGAGATGAGATCCCACCATTCTGCTGTTTGGCCCATTCCCACTCCTTGATCTCATCCATGTGCTACTGAGCAACCAACAAAGAAAGCCACCTCCATCTGATGAAGAGGCTGCAGCATCACAGGGAAAGGAGACACAGGAAAAGGACTGAATGCACACAGGGCACCTGGGAAGAGTATAGTATTTAAAAGAGAGCTCCCTCTGACACTTAACTATGATTCTTCTTAGGCAGGGGTGGGAAATTAATTTCTATAAGGGGCCACATGAAAAATATGAACTGTGCCTGGGGGTCGAACCAACTTTACTTAAAAATAAAATGAAATTCGTTCACCGTGGGGGGGAGGGAGAAAAAACCCAGACACTGAGCTAACTCACCTGTCCTCCATTCCTCCGTGGCGTGCCTCTCCCACTGTCTTCTATCCACTGTCTTCATCACGTCACCTGCGCAAGGATCGCTTCCAGCCTCTTGAGCCACAGGCTCCGCAGCCTGTGGCTCAAGAGTAACGGCCAAAACTCGCAAGATTCCAGCACTGGATCTCGCGAGTTTTACTTACAGCCATGCTGGGTGACCAGAGCTGGAGTTCCGGCTCACTCAACGGCGACGGGCAGGCCGGACGGGAGCGATGACCTGCGGGACGGACAGGAGCGGCTCGCGGGCCATAGGTGGCCCGTGGGCCGCACTTTGCCCAGGTCTGTTCTTAGGCAACGTAAATGCTGTGGAGTTGGGATATGAGGTGCTGTACTGTCAGAGAAGGCAAAGCAAGGCTGGAGAGCAAGGCTCCCTTGTTTCTCCACTGTGAGATGCATGCACTCAACTTTCTTACCTGTGTGAGGCAAGAAGAATCTCAGGGGCTCGGTACCAGCGAGTAGCAACATATTCAGTAAGTGTGGGGTTCCCTTCATCCGTAGAGATTTGACAGAGGGAGCGTGCCAGTCCAAAGTCACACAATTTAACAAAGCAATCCGAGTCGAGAAGGATGTTAGATGGCTGCAAGGGAGAAAAGAGCTCCAGGGTAGGCAATGCCAGAGTGCAGAACCTCAAGAGGGCATCAGCCTTGGTGGCTGGGGTGACAGGAATCACAATTCTGAACTATCCCTGAAGGATCCAAGAAAGAGATTAAGACAGACACAACAGTCAGGCCCACCATTTGGACCCCAGCAGCCTGCTCGGGAAACAGGGATTCAAATCTCTGCTTAGCCATGATGCTCACTGGGTGGCCCTTCAACAGTCACTCTTCCAAACTAATCTATCTGGGAGAAAGGTAAGGATAATGTGCACAAGCTTGAACTCCTGGAACTGAATGAAATGCTTTGAACATCAGAAGTACCAGTCAGACCCTGGCTATCAAAGCAAAGTGTGCTGCTTATGTACCAACCCATAGTGCTTGAAGCACTCTGTGGGCAGTTTACAGTCCAATTATGCAGGCTACACATTGTCCCATTCCTCAGCAAGCTGAGGACTTCTTTTACTCATCTTGGAAGGAGCGAAGACTGAGTCAAGCTTCAGTCAGCTTACATGAGCCCATCAGGATTGAACTTAGGTTGTGAGCAGAGTCTTGACCACAGTACTGCAGTTTAACCATGGTGCCATGAGGCTCCTATCAAACCAAATCCCTCACAACACTTTATTTCTACACCCTCAAATTCACTCATCAGATTGTTGGAGGGAAATCTTTTTCCACAAAGTACCTTCTGGTCCCTGTGAATTACATTTCCTGAGTGGATGAACTTGGTGGCCTTCAGGAGCTGGTACAGGATATAACACTTGTGAATGTCTTTCAATAAATTCCCCTTCTTGATCACAGCATGCAAGTCAGTCTCTGAAACAGAAGACATAGACCCAAAATACTGAGCATAATGCAGCAGGCTGAAAACAAAGCCCAAGGCCTTGGGTCCTTTTTTAGAAACAAACAAACAACTTCGAATATTCCAGCTGCCTCCCACTGACAACTTGAAAGCCAAAGCTGCGGTCGAGACCCTGTCCCAAGAATAGGGTTCCACCATTTTAGATGGCTATCCATCAAAGAAGCCACCCCTTTTCTCACTGATTAATCTACTGTAGACTACTCTGTCTTTAATTAAAATGAGTCTGCCCATTCTATAGTTATATTTGTCTTGCCTACTCCTTCTAGCCCAACATCTTTATTTCACAGATTTTTCTTTAATATAGCCTACCTCTTTTTGCAGCATTCTGAAATGGAACAAAATATGATTTGTAGAAAGGAAGGACTTACCCATGGACTCGAAAACCAGGTAAATGTCTTTGTCATTCTGAGCCCGGATGACATTCAGGAGCCTAATGATGTTTGGATGCTCTCCAAATTCCTGCATGAAAAAAAGGTCTGCCTCTCATCAATCAAGGTTGGCCTGTGCATCAGACTCAAGAGCCTCAAACTACCCAGCAGAGTGTGAGTAGAGGTCCTGCACAGGATTTGGTGGCCAGAAAGGATGCCCGCATTCAGTGACTAGATACCTTTTCATACACATGTCTCATCTCCTTCCTGCTCCCCCTTTTTGATATTTACCTGCAGATTTTTTTCTAACATTTGCTTTAATGAATTATTAATGAATTAATAATTCCACCCAAACATTCATTTTTAGGCAAAACCAAAGGACAGAATAAAACCATTAAAAAATCGATGTGAAAACAACATTATTATGATGACCAGGCCAACATGACACAATAATAAGCAGAACAATACGCTTACATATATCCTGGTAACAGCTAATCAGTTCATGTTGCCACAGAATTAAAAACAGAAGGCCAAATGCTGCCTAGTATCACTTTGTTCCAACACAGGAGGCATTCAAGAAAAATTCAGACAACCATCTGGCGGATAGCCTTTGATTTGTCTTCTGCACAGAGCAAGGGGTTGGACTCGATAGCCTTATAGGTCCCTTCCAACTTCATGCCTCTATTATTTTGTCCTACAAAGTATTATAAGGTGGCCTCATGATAACAAGTGAGGTGAAAAGCTGCAAAAATAACTTTCCCTTCTCTTAACCCTAATCTTTCTCTTTAAAGGAGGAAGGCCTACTGTATCTGTTTTGCACTCACAGAAGTGAACTCCTAGCATTACTAGGGCTTCAGAAAAGCATACTGGGAAGGACCTGCTCATTCTGTGAGTTTAGCAAGCCCTGTCCATCTAAGACCTAGGTTCTTAACCTGTGGTCCGCAGAGCCCTGGAGGGCCACAATGTCCTCACAGAGGATCTGTGAAGGCTGAAAGAAATGTTATGATCTTCTTTGCAGTTAAAATAGAAAAAATGAATCAAAGCAAGAAAAGGAAAGATAGAACAAAACCTTAATTTCCCTTGCTTGTTTGTGTTAAACTTGTCTTTTCTAACCTATTGCCTCCATTAAAAACAAAAAAAGTGAAAATGGGTTACAAAAATAACTGATAGCAAATAACTGCTTGATATTTCTGTACATGGTGAGAACAGGCAAATGAAAGATGCTCAGTGGCTAAAAGAAAGCATATGACACTTCTTCCTACTGCGCAGACAGCCAGAAGCCAGGGGAACAGACTATTATTATTATTGCTATTGTTACTATTATTCGAAAACACCTGGCATAGTCGATCAAAATAATAAAAACATTGACTGGTATTATATAACATATACAATTTTTACCAACAACCTAAGTATCATTATATGCTGTTCCTAATATTGTCATTTTCGTAGCTCAGATGGTGTGATTTCTGAGATCTGCAACTGCTTATAGTACAGTGGTATCTCGCACAGCAAGGTTAATCCGTTCCGGATTAACCCTCGCTGTGTGAAACATCGCTGTACGGAAGTAAAAAAGCCATTGAATAGTATTAAACTACGTTTAATGTGTTCCAATCGGCACGTTTACTTACCGTACAGCGATGCCGGCAGCCATTTTCGCGCCCTCCCCTCGCAGAACGAGGGCGCGAAAATGGCTGCGATCAGCTGTCCGGCGGGTCCAAAATGGCCGCCGGAACAGCCGAAAGGGGCCAGGGCGCAGTGTTTTTGCGCCCTTGGTAAGCAAGGGGAGGGCGTGAAAACGCTGCTGGAAGCCCCGAAATGGCTGCGCGCGTTTTCGCGCCCTCCCCTTGCTTACCAAGGGCGTGAAAACGCTGCGCCCCGGCCCCTTTTGGCTGTTCCGGCGGCCATTTTGGACCCGCCGGACAGCTGATCGCAGCGTTTTCGCGCCCTCGTTCAGCGAGGGGAGGGCGCGAAAATGGCTGCCTTCTCTACCTGATGTTCCCACAGGTTTTTGGAGGCTGGCAAGTTATATTTTTTTGCATAAAGACGAGTGCACTAACTTCACTACTCTATCATGTCTGATTTTGCAACCTGTTTGTGCAATGCAATCTTTGGACATTTGCAGATGAGACATGACACGGTTTAATCTTTTTCTTGATGGAGTTGACATTTGCTGTTAGAACTGACTCCTTGGATCTTAAGCTATCATCATGTTGGTTTGGAGTCCTTGTTCTTGTGCAGGAAAAAACAAGTGTTGAGTTTCTTTCTTAAAGTTCCCCAGCTTTAGCCATGCCCATGTTGAATTATGATCATGCTTTCCATCAATATTTATTAGGTGTTGTCCATGTAGTGGTTTGTTTTTCCAGCTGTTTAATTTATTTTCAAATCTTTGTTTCTTATATTGAGCCTTTGTTTCTGTTGTTTTCAAAATATTCTCGATTTTCACCACCTTAAGAAATTTTTCTCTGCTTGTACTGATATAGTCATTTAGGCTTTTTTTTTTTCTTCCTCTACTACCTCTTGCATTTGCAGTCATCCACGGCCTCTGATTTTTTTGTGGTAACTATAATCTGTCCACATTGCTTTCTGGATGTAGCACGTTCATCAGCTTCCACGTTTTTGATACACTATTACTATTATTATTACTATCATCATTATTATTATTACTATTATTATTACTGGTTGTTGTGATTAGATCCCGGCCGTGAAAGCCTTCGCGAATACATTATTATTACTACTACTAAAATTGCATGGAATCCTTCCAATAAAATATTATAATAGGAGCATTTACATTAACAGATTAACTTTTTTCTCCCTTCTCTCCAAATCTGAAGACCTATCACGAAAAACTTTATCTAATGCACTTTTGTGTTTTAAATCTTGAGTTAAGTCTTGGTGGTCCAAGGCAAGAAGAAATATTTAAAGGGGGCGCGTGGCAAAGAAAAGATTGAGAACAGCTGACTCAAGACATGAAACCAGACACAGGTACGGACGGGGGGGGGGAGGCAAGGGAGGAGGACGAGCATTCCTTACCTGAAGGAACATAATCTCCCGGAAGGTCCTCTGAAAACAAACACAAGTGCCTGACCGTTAAGGCAGGATCAAGGCACAGCCCAGGGTCCCCAAGGGAAGCCTCGCCACGGGAGGGGCCAGGGACGCCCCCCACTCAGATCCTACATGGATGGGAACCGGAGGGGGGCGGGGGAGGTCCGGGTCGCAGGAAAGCCACCCGCGAGGGAGCCTCCGAGGCTTTGGCAGGAGCGCCCGCCCCCTTCGTCCCAAGGGGGGCGGGTTCCTGTTAAGCCATCTCTCATCTTCTGTTGAATTTGCCTCATACCTGGCATAATGAGATTTCACCATTATGTGTTCCTCTAGAGCTAAATCAGGCTGCATAATGTGAAAGAGATTTGAATTTTGGCCATGAGCCTCTCGGTATACTTCATGCATTTAATGAAGTTGGTTGTTCTTTATTCAAAATCACATTCTCTGCAGCAAGCTTTCCCTTTCTGCCACGATTGGCTCATGCAACAACTCTTCTGTAATTAAACTGATAATTTGTTCTTTACCAGGTTATGCTTATGCAACCACTTGTCTTCTGAGCTAATAAGTGGGCAAAGCATAGATTTCATAGCATCCCGTCCTTTTATTAAAATGAGATTTGCGGCTTATAGCCTTTAATCATCAGCAAACTTCCTCATATTGCTCTGCAACCACAAGACATTAATGAAAGAATATTGTAAAGAGGCAAAGAAATAGCATGGCTATGCCCTTTGACAGCAGGAAAGTGATGGAGAAGAAATGCAGACTCTGAGGATAAATGGCCTATAGAAAGAAGTTAGTGAGCTTTTACCAGGTGGAAAGCTATTGGCACTGGGTAGTTTGAAAAGAAAGAAATTAACCTATTATGTAGTTAAAGAAATGGCTTTGTATATGACTGTTGCCATGAGGAATGTTTGCAGTTGTATCTCTCATCTGCTTAGCAAATTAATGTGCTGGACGTTAGGCTCAGAAGCATATATCGACACATAACAGAATGGTCAAGAGAGCAGTAGCAGATGGCCTTGTGGAGCTGGTGGGATGCAGCCAAGAAAGAGCAAAAGTCAATGAAGGAGTCTCTATGTATACAGCCACTAGATGTACTGCATCTAATTTGCCACCCATTTTCATCTCTTTTCTACATCCTAAAGATCCTTAAACAAGTCATTATAGGTACTCAGTGGCTGATATCTTGTTGCTCAGTGTAGTAAGTTGCACTAGAGTAGATCCATTGAATCAATAGGAATTTGGTGAGTCAACTCTTTCATAAGTTCATCTGATTTAAATGGATCTACTCTAGATGTGCCTCCAGGGCAGGGCAGGGCAGAGGCTTGACAGCGAGCCCCGGGTGGCGAGCAAGAGGGATCTGGCCGTCTATGCAGGCATCATAGCTGTGACTCAACGAATGCAACCGGCCCCCCACCCCTTTGGAAGGCAGCTTTTCACGCTGCAGTGTGACAGATTTACGTAATTATTTAAAGCAGAGACAGGCAATATGTGGTCCCTTGGGAGATGCCAAAGAATGCAGTAACTATCAGATCATTACTATTAATTTACGATACATGCAAAGCGATGCTCAAGGTGTTATACCAAAGGCTTTTTCCTTGGGGAGCAATAAATGCCTGATGTTCAAGCTGAATTCTAAAAAAAAAGGTACCCGAGACCATTTTTCAAATATCTGTGGCTAAGGGGGCACCAAAGAATTTCAGATGATCAGTCTGCTAAAGAGACTACAGCAAAACCTTTTGAGTAAATTGTGAGAAACTACAGGTTCTGAAATACATGTGTGTGCCTCAGGAACTGATTATTGTGATGTTTAACTTACCTTGTGGATAAGAAGCTATCATTAAGACAGAATATGGAGAGACAAAATGGTTTCCTATAGGCAAGAGTGTTAGATAAGAGTGCATTTCATTCTATAGGTTCAGTCTGTATGCAGACCAAACATGAAAAGCTGGACTGGATTCAAATAAAGGAAGAGGGAAAATTCTTAGAAGAAACATCAGTAATTTCAGATCTTCAGAGGACATCATCTTACTGGCAGAAAGCATCAATGACTTTTGGTGAAAGAAAAAAAAGGCCAAAGCAGGACTTGCAGCTGAGCATGAAGATAGAAATCATAACTGCAGAACTACATTACTTTGACGTGGGCAGTGAAGAAAAGAGACTTTGTATACTTTAGTTCAGTCATGCTTGGGTCACCCCCCCCCCGTGTCCCTTGGAGGCAGAACGAAAGGAGAGTCATTCTTGTGCTTTAAATTGCCCACATTTATTAACTCAAGCCCAACAGGCATAACTTCAACATCACCTTCATTCAGCAATAGGGTGAAGAAGGGGTTCCATAAACTATGGTCCCATACATGTGGCTCTTCTCCCCTGCCATACCAAGGGTCTAGCTTTTCTTTCTTTAAACTTGGTGTGTACGCCTGTGACAACATCAACAGGGAGGGTGGGGCTGCTGGTTTCCATCATTCTTCCCTGTCAGTGCCCCCCTCCCAGGACTCCCCTTGGATCTCCAGTCCTGTGGGGAATAGAACCTCTTATGCTGCAGGGAGTTCCCACCACTTCTGTGTTCTCTATTCTCAACTTTCTCTTGGGCCCAGGATTGCTTTTATTTCCTCCTCTTCCTCCACCCAATAAGAGGGCTTTTGAGGTACTCTTTCGCCGCTCCTCCTGTCCACTTTCACCAGCATCATTAGCTTCTCCATCTTCCCCATCCAAGAGTTCTCTGGCTCTATCCATTCTTACCCTTCCGATAGAACCTTCTCCACTTTCTTTTGCCTTGCAGTCCACCCAATCTTTCTCCCTCCTGCTAACGGCATCCTTATATCTCTCTCCTGCTTCTCACTTGGTTCCCCTCTTTCCAGGGCAGAGGGGGCGGCATATGGGCAGGAGGAGGCTTCCTTTTGCCCCCTTTCTCACTCAGTGAAGCTGAAAAGGAAAAATTTGATGCATTTGAAATACGGTGCTGGAGGAGGGCTTTTCATATATTTTGGACTGCCAGAAAACGGAAACGCAAATCCTAGAGCAAATGTGAACTATCTCCAGAGCCAAAAATGATAAAAATGAGGCTGTTCTACTTTGGGCAGATCCCGAGTTTGAAAGATTCTTTGGAAAAGACAATAAAATTAGGAAAAGTTGAAGGAACCAGGAAAAGAGGAAGACTATTGCGTTTACAAGAGCTTTGCAGGGCTGTTGAACAGCTGGACATTTTGGAGACCGCTCATTCATGGGGGTCGCTATAAGTTGGAGATAACTTCATGGCACGTAACAACCTAAGTACAATCCATGTAAGGAGAATAAAAATATTAGCACTCTTCATGGCCTCTGGGCAAGAACTCTAGGCAAAAATTCAATATAGTTTGTACATGCAGTACAAACATGTTCTCACATGTTCCCTTCCTCACACTTTCTACACATATATATGGATCTTTTAGGGCTGGGGTCCCCAATGCCTGGTCCATGGTTGCGGAGAAAGATCTCCCCCACATACACGCACAGATGCCCCACCCAATGCATGCATACATGGGTGCCCTCCACACTAAACCAATCCACAGTTCAGAAGAGGTTCGGGGCCACTGTTTGAGGGGATAGTAGGATGGTCTGAACACCATAATGTTAACCACTCATCATTTTCAACTTTAAATATTGTCTTTTGTTGTAAGTTTCCTTGGGTCCTTTTCAAGGAAAAAGACAGTAAAAAATATTTTAAATAAATAAAAACCACCTGCCCCAAATCACATAACTTTTTCATGAAGCCTTTCAGAGGGTCCTTGTTACTTGATGGAGCACCTTTTCCCAAGAATATCTCTGTTCAGCATGGTCCTCCTACTCCAGACTGTTGGATGATCAAGCAATCTAGATGTAAATTTCAAAGGGGAAGGGCCTGCAACACAAACTAACTTGTTTGCTTGTTTACATACTGACCAATTAGAGGGAGTTTGTTGTTGTGGGGCTAGGGTAGCTCCACCCCTGTTTCCGGCCCTCCTGGCCATGAGGTGATTGACCTCCATTGTTGCCCACTCTTCTTGCACACGCTTTTCAAGATGTAACACCTCCACGCTGGCTCTCTGAGCCTAGAGATCCTTCAAGCCACATGGGCGAAGGAGAAGAACATCGTTTTTGCTATTTTTCTCTTTCTGTATCTACCTGAAACCTTCTGAATGCTTATCTACGTGAGTAGAATATAGAATTCTTTCTTTTATACAAAAAGGCCTCCTGAGTGTTGACTCCATGCCGGCCCACTGAGCCTGGAGATCCCTCCAGCCACGTGGGGCCAGAACAGAAGAACATTGTATTTGCTGTTTTTATTCCTGTGTCTACCTGAAACCTTCTAAATGCTTATCTTCGTGAGTACAATATAGATTTCTTTCTTTTATACAAAAAGGCCTCCTGAGTGTTATTCTTAAGTGCTAGTGTTTGGTGAGGGGCGGGTATTAAAAGGGGAACTTCTAGCTAAATTCTGCCCAAACCGGCTGGCACTTCTTGCTGCGCATTGTACTGGAATTCAGTACAGTACCAAACTCTCAACACAGACCTGGGCAAAGTGCGACCCGGGGGCCACATACGGCCTGCGAGCCGCTCCTGTCCGGCCTGCAGCCAGTTTTGAACATCAAAACCATTTATAGCTTTTTGTTTAAAGTTGATCATACTGCAAAAAACCTCTTTAGTATTTGTGAAGATTAACAAGTTTCAAATAAAAACAATCGTAACATCACTTTCATTTTATTTTTAAGTAAAGTTGGTTCAGCCCCTAAACACAGTTCAGATTTTTCATGCGGCCCCCCTATAGAATTTAATTGCCCACCTGTCCTAGGCCTTACTATTGAGGTTGCCTCCTCTGAGAGAAGGAAATAAAAGCTTAATTACAAATCAGGCATTTTTAGTAGTGGCACCCTCTGTTGTGGGGCAGACAAGCCTCTGCCTTACCATCTTTTTTAGAAGATTAAGACTCAGTTGCTAAGGGAGGCTTTCAGCAACATCTTACCGCCACATTTTCTCACATTCTCCTACACTGTTTCTATTCAGGTTTGTGGGTATTTGTCTATTGTAGTTTCCTTGGAATTTATTTCTATTTTAGGTGTCATCTTAGTTAATGTTCTTTGATTCACTGGGGAGATGTTTTATTTTTGGTTGGGTTTGTATAAATTTGGTTTCATGTTATATAAACTGACCTGAGTAGTAATCTCACTGAGTTGTGTGGTATATAAGCTTTATAAATAAGGAAAGTTTTAAGGATCAGATGGATCAGATCATACTTTTGCATTATTAAAGAGCAGGCCGGGTAGGTGGGGCTCGTCAGCCATGGAAGGCAGCCCATCTAGGAGAAGGAAAACTCCAATTTCAAACCTCCACTGTCTTGTGGCTATATCCACTCATGGAAAAGGCTTCAGGAGTTCACCTAGAGGCAAAATCCGGAGCTGGAGTCCCGAAGGCAGCTCGTGTTCTTCTGCCAACTCCTGCGACATTGCTGGAACCAGTTGTATTGGCTCTTGCCTTTCCATTGGACCATTTCAGCAATGTGGAGAGGGGGGATCTGCTGCTTGGGTAACAGCCTATCCTCCATATTCCCTTACCCGGGCTTCATGCTCTGGAGAGGACACTCCTCGATTCAGAGCATGTCACCATAGTCTCCCGAGACTGAAGGATGCCTATGTAGGAAATAAATAATATCAAATAAAATTATTAAAAAATTAGACAACCATGGAAGGAGCAAGAGTACCTTGTCTATAGGACAAGATTCATTCTTGGTCTAGCCTTGCATGCCAGATTGGGAACGGCTAGAAACAACTGGAACCAGGGTTATCAGTCAGTGGCTACTCCCCTCAAAGTTGTTTTCAGCCCGCTCATTTCATCAGGTCTCTCTCCGTACCTCCCGTGAGCTGACACTCTTCACCCTGTCTCTGAATTACTCAGTAATATCTCCGTCCCGGATCCCAAAAGAAACATCTACTCCGACTTTAGCCACTGATCACAAAAACAAAATGCAAATTCTTGAAATGTCTGTTCATTTGCATAGTTTATTCCAGTCACAGAATGTAAAGCCACTCGTTTGAGGGGGAAATCTGATTTGCAAGTGTCAGATTGGTGTTTTGGGGACAGGGTTTGGTGAAGGGGTGGAGATGGAGTGAACGGTGTTGGAGATGTTGAGTGAGCCCCAGTAGCTGCGTTGTAGCTCAGTGCCCTCTCCTTGCCACACCATGTCAGCTGTAAGTTGGACTTCAGCTTCTTCCCTGCATTCCTAGACTTCTTTCTCAATTTCTGGGCACTGACCTTTCTCTTTGCTCTCTTATCTGCAATCTAAACCACCAGACAGTGGGGCTGAGAAGAACAGGAGAGCAGGCCGCCCCCCATAGTAGTTGCCACGAGTGGAGGTCCAAGGAGTCTGAAAGTGGCAGATGAAGGCAACGGGCCTTTTCCCTCCTTCCCTCAGATCCCCAGCAGTAGCTGCCCACACACTTGTTACCTTCTGACCTAATGAAGGCAAAGATTTGTTCTGTTGTGGAGTCGCTGGTACTTGCGCCCTACAACAGATCTGGAGAATCCTTTTTAATACCAGGCAAAAACAACAACAATAAAATAAAGACGAAAACATTGTGGCACCTTAAAGACTAACTGTTATATTTTAATAGGAGCTTTGTGGCCTTTGAGCTGGTGACTTTTTATACTGTAACTTGAAATCAAGCCTGGCACTGAGCTTAGTAGTAGCTTGCTGCATTAGGCCAGAAAACGAGCAAAGTGCACTTTCTACACGTGAGGATGTGTGCATGACAATTAAACCAGTTCAAAGCCCCTTCCTTTCCTGGCAGTTGCCAGGAAGAAACAGTTTCTAGTATCCACTATTGCTACCTCAACCCTCCTAAGCCATAAAATATTAGTAGTGGTTTACGTACAAATTTCTGTGCCTGTGTTCCTTTCCATATTCGTATTTCTTTCTAAGAGTAAGCTGCATGCCTGTTGCTACAAAACCATGAAAGAGTCTGATGTCATAAAACTTTAAAAGTTTATTACTGAATGAATTTTTATGGACAGTAGTCCATTTCCAAAGATTCTTAATGTATTACCAAGATATTCAAAGATTTGGTTTTCATGTCATATGCCACCAAGATGCTATGCTGTGTATAGTATGCTGCTCAGTTCCCAAGGAAACGGTAGTCCCCTGACAGTCCCCGAGGAAAGTCCACCTGACCGGCCACCTGGGGGGGGGAGATGCCCCCTCCCGGAGACAGACGGCAGGCCACCAAGAGTCTTATCCTGGGTGAAGTTCCAGAATCTCGAACCACCAAGCTCCCCCACCCCAAACCCCACTGGATGAGAATGCCTTTCTTTAGATCAACGGCCATGCTGTGGGGGCTCACACAGCACTGCAGGAGGGCAACTGTTTTTCACAGCATGCCGGAACAACTCCCCCACCCCCAAACCAAGCTTTCCTCTTCCTCAGATACACTGAGGAGATCCCATCTGCATTCACAGACAGGAACCCCTGCAACATGTACTTGCATGTTTCCACATCCACCAAGAATACGGCACAGGAGCCCCTCCATACTGCCAAGCCCCACGAAGCCATCTCGTCTCTGCAGACGGACGGCACACATTCCCCAGACTACAATACTGCAGGGGAACCTGCAAAGCAGAAGAAGAACCCAGACACAATGCACTTCCGGACAGACCAAGACAGGAAGGCGACAGCGCTCTGCCCGTTGTTATCCATGGTTCCTGGCTCTACCCAGAGGTCTCCTAATGAACAACAGCCCGTTCTGGAGAAGGGCGCTGCCCTCTTCCTGGCCTGGCTGCTGGTGTGAGGTCTGCCCCTGCTTATGCCAAGCTCCTGACAAGAGGCAGTAATGGGACCCCAAGTCACACAGCAAGGGCACAATCCCATGGACCAGGCACAGCAAGAAACCTCGCACCTACTCTGCAGTCCCAAGAGAAGACCCAATGAAGTCACCCAGCGTTCATCTGCTCACTCGTCTCCCAAAGTCTCAGGTGCTCCCTTCTGAAAGGCAGGCCCTTCCTTCCGCCTTCTGCATGGCATGCATCTAACATCATGAGCAGCAATGGTCAAGAAGGCAGCTAGAGAAAACTTTTGCTGCACAAGACGCTCCATCACTGACCTTCGGGGGCCATGGGGGAGAAAGAAAGCCCCAACAGGCAATGACAGCAAGAGACTACCAAACTGCAATTCACAAGGAAGTTCCAGTCTAATGTCAAAGATGTGTATCAGGATAATGGGATTTTTAAATTATTTATTAGTTCGCATTTATTATTTCAAATGCGACAATGCATTCTTGTCACACCACAGGTGTTGACTGGCATTCTGACCTTCAGAATATATATCTGAAATTCTAGACACTACTACATGCATCTGATGATGTCAATAGTGGACATGATGATAGTTCAGGATACAGTGAACCTGCTAAGTCTTTTAGGTGCCAAAGACCTCCTTGCTGCTATTTCCTCCACATGCTGTCTCTCTCTCTCTCTCTCTCTCTCTCTTTCCCTAATGTGCCAAGAAGAAACAGAGAAAGTTTTCTGACAGCCCCTTCACGGTAGCACCCAGAGGGAAGATAGAAGTTCAGATGAGAAGCAGATGCCAGGCCAGCGTCTTACTTTAGTTATGTCTGCAGCCCTTCCTTCAGCCATCCACAAGCATGCACAACTTTGCTTTCTACCTACAAAGAGTTACAACATCATCTTCCAACCGGAAGTGGGAGAGAGTGATGCAAGGTTTGGTTCCAGTTCCTTCCTCTCCCACAATCGAGACACAATTTTCTGAGAATACTTCTGGCTCTCCCCTACTTCAGCAGCAACTCCAAAGCCAGTGGGGTGGAATGCTGCTCCCTGTCTACCCACCAATGACTAAAACGCGTCACCTGCTTTGCCGCCTGCACCCCCCACCCTGCTGGACAAAAGCCCTCCCTGCAACCTGAAGCTGTGTCATCCACACATGGTTTGGCACCTCTGTAACAAACTTGTACCAGGCAAATCCTTGGACGAAACATGAGCTTCCCCTTCCCTGTCTTTCAATGTTCTGCCTTTACTTCAGTTGCCAGCTGAAGAAGCTGCCAGCCACCTCCTTTTCCTGCCCTCATTGTGCTCAGTACGTCCCTCTTCCAGCCCCGAGAGCTTTTATCTCAGCACTGCATCAAGATACCTGCTACCATAGTGAGTGAGGCCTGCAACTCCCAACGGGCAAGCCTAATTTCCAGCCCTTGAAGGAACCCACTAATGCCTGATACCTTTGGTGCCGGTTCCCACCCATCATCCTTGCACAGAGCAAAAACAGTCCCAAAGAAAAAGGTCTGATTGGAATGGAGTATCATCAAAATCTAAAGAGTCTGTGACTGTGGCAGCTGCGCCAATGGGCTGGGTGTAACTCTACTACACTGAGCAATGCCTGAGGCAGGTCTTCAAACGCAGCAGGCATCCTAGGCAGGAGTGGATGGTGCTTAACCTAAAGGCAGGTCTGCAGTGGTCCTGGGCTCCGAATGGATTGGCTGAGGCCAGTTTTCCACTTTACTCACAAAAGACTGCTTTGCCAGATGTCACGAGACTCATGCTTGGTTTTCCCAACCCCCCACAAGTACATGATACTCACAGTGCTATACCTGATTGCTCTAGATAGCCTTCTAGTAATAGTTTAAGTGGCCAGCACTTTCCCTACCCCACCCCAAACCCAACCCCCACTTGTCCTGAGAGCAGGGCTTTGCATTGTCCCATGCAGAATAGCTGTGGACGGGACTGGTGGACTTCGGCAGCAACAGAACAGTCACTTTTTGGTTTTGAATGTGCCCAAAAGTTTGGGCATGAACTTCCCCATCTTCTTGTCTTTGGCATCTAGGTCACCTTCCTCTTCACCTTGTTCATCTTTTTTGCAGAAGACCTCAAACCGGCTATAGACTCGCTTCTCCTTCCTCATGCTTTCCATCCTTTTCAGAAGGGAGTCTCTGTCCTCAGGAGGCTCCCTGTGGAGGGTTCGTTTGTGGTTGCCAAAGCTCTCTGACCTGCTGATCCCTGTGTTTCGGTCTTCACCTTTGTGGTCCAAGCTCGTGGTGGACTTGGAAAGCTCAGGGTTGCTTGCAACTGGAAGCTGCCTGGCCAGCTCTGCTCGGTTCTTCTGGCTGTTGGCAGAAATTTGCTCCAAAATTACCTTTGTGTCATCACGGAGGTTGCTGCTGTACAGAACATTGGCTGTAGACGTAGGAAACCGAGACGGAGGAACCTGACTTCCTTTGAGGGCAGGAGGAGCTGATGGGGTCAGCTTGGGGGGTTTCTCCTCCTCCACAGTCTCTTGGAAGTCACTCTTGGACAGTCGTTTGAGGCCACCCATGTTCTGCTTATCAGGCTTCCAGATCTCAGAGACAGTTTCTTCGTCTGGTTTCTTTTCACTTTTTGGGCTCAAAAACTGCTTTATCCTTAGCGATCCCTTCCTAAAAAACTCTTTTGAGCTCTGCTCCTGCTTATAGCCTTCTTCCTCTGGCCTGCTGAGAGAGATGTCGGAGTCAGGGGTCTTGGAGGAAATTTCTGGCGCAAATGTGTTGCCCATCTGCACTGGTCTTGGCTTCTTGAATTCTGTTTCAGACAGATTGTTTGCATCCCCTTTGAATGGCAGTTTGTCCTTCCTTTCTGGGACAGCAGGTTTCTGAGTTTCTCCAACAAACACAAGGCTCTCCTTCTCCAAAAGACCGGGCTTGTTCTCTACTGGATAGAACCGGGAAGACAACTTGTCCATTTGACTGCTAACCTGTGCTATGGGATCTTTGCTAAGCCCATCAGAGAGCTGGCCAGCTGAGGTGGAGGCTCCAAATTGGCCCTCTGACTCTGTGTGCAGCTTATAATTACTGAAAGAGTCTTTGGAGTCCAGCACCCGACTCTCTAGAATCTTGTACTGAACTGATTTAGTACACTTCTTCTCTGTGTCCTGGGATTCCTCTTGGAGAAAAGCAGCCATCGCTTTAGTCTGGCTGACGGTGGTGCTTTCCATATCTTTGCCCACAGTCTTGTACTTCTCCAGCAACTCAGCCACTTTGGAGGCCATGGTTGTCTTTATAGTTTCATTGTCTTTTGTCGTCTCACTGGCAGTCTGCTCTTTTTGCACCACCTGCATTTTTTCCGTGGACGTATTTTGCTGGTCTAATTTGGCAGCACTGAAGATCAAGGAAGACCTCAGCCGGGAGGTCCTCTGGATCAGGGGATTGATCCTGCTCCTGAAGGGATCCTGCTTCCCTCCAGGGGTTTCCTCAGCCAATCTCTCAGCTCCAGCAATGTCTTTGGCACTTGTGAGTGGCAGTGGGGATCTGAAAGTGGGGAGGAGGTCATTTGGATGCCTGTTGAAGGGCTCTGTGGGATTAAGCACCTCGTTGTAAGTCTCGGATTCCATTGGTACTGCAAAGCTTTCCTCGCCTGCCTCAGACTGATACCCACTCAGGTAGGAAGAGATTCTCCATTTACGCAGACCTGCCCTATTTTCTTGCCCTTTCTTGTCTTGGTCAACATCCTTTTCTTGGTCCTGCAGAAAAAGCCTTTGTTCCAGACTCTGCTTCTGTGTAGGGGAGGTCTGGCACATGAACTTTTGCCCCATGTTTTGCCTCCTTTGAGACGGCAGACCTAGAAGGCCATTCCCTCCGGGATTCATATGGTCAGAACCATGCCGTACTTCCTTTGAAGAATTAGAGGGCACGTAATCCAGCCGCAGCGGGTAGCCTTCATGGGCAAAATTGGATTCCAGTTCTGGACACCTGAACCCATCTGCATAATCCTCCAGTTCATTGAATCCCGGTCTACCTCCTCGTATTCTTTCAAACAGCCCCTGAGGCCTACTGGCACCATGGGGGTGTTCAAACTGATACTGGTAAAATTGGTCCTTCTGAAAATGGCTGGACTGGATTTTAAATTCATCCAGATTATTCATGAACATCTGCCTAGAAAACTGTTTAGAGGAGGAGAAGTTCTCAAAGGTTCCTTCAGCAAAGCTGTGCCTTTTGAACGAGTCCATCTCCAGCTGCTTGGAACGGAGGTAGCCCCGGATGGGGTCCATCTGGGCATTCTCCATCTCCACTTTCTTAGAATACATCCGCATTCCTGGGCCTTCCAAGGTGTGACGCAGCATATCATCTCTTCGGAAAGATGACAGGAAGTATCTGTCTGGATCGACTCTGTCCACAAAGGGCGAGAAGAGGTTCTCTTCCCGCGGGAACAGCAGGGGGGGAGGCTTCCTTGGGAAGAGAGGCATGTTGTGGCCAAAGGGTGCCATGCCGTAGGGCCCCGGGGCGGTCTCTGTCCTGACCAAGACATTAGCTGGAGGCACCAGTGGGTCTGACTGAGCAAACAGAATTCGGAACTCCTCGTCAAAGCTGGCCACCAACTCCCCCTGGAAGATGTGAGCTATACTTCGGTGAATCTTTTCGAAAGACCACATGAAGCTGTAGAAAATGAAGTGAGAGAAGGGCAAGTTATTCTCATGAGTGGCATCTCTGCTTTGCTTAACAACTCTTTTATGATGTCTAGAGGTGGTCACTCTTGGCTTTCACCTGCCAGGGGAGGGCAACGCTGTGCTAACAGCCCAAGGATTTCAGCACAGCAGGAAAGACAGGGAAGGGCCTACTTGCCACTCCAGCATCTTCCTTACTTCTAGGAAAACCCACGCTGATTCAGGCCACACACAGCAGGGATGAGTGGATCTCTGCCTTGGGCTCAGCCCTCCCATAGTAACTCATGCTAGCCAACGTCAGCTCCTGCTTTAGCATGTGCGGGTGGACAGGGAGGGTGCATGTATCCATTTATCACACCTGCTCCTACCCAAGGCTTAGCCTTGATACACCGTGATAAGGTAGGGGGGGCTGCTCCTTTCATCACTTGAGCTTCTCCACTCACCTGTAGCTGCCACTTAGGACCACCATGCAATCCACCAAAAGAAACTTCTCCTTCACATGCCCTTTGAAAGACATCCCCGTGCGGCAGTAGTAGGTGGGGCCAGAGACAGTCCGCACGCGCAGAAACTGCAAGACAATACAGACGTCAGGCTGCAAGTCCCAGAAGCAACAGAGAGAAACCCCCCCTTTTTTGGGGGGGCGCAGGGGAAACAGAGAGGCACAGAAAGGCACCTCCATCCAGTTATCCCCTTCCTCCATCCACCCGGCGGCCAGTTCTTGTTCTGCTTCCCTCCCCCCCTCCCTTCCCCAGCAAGGTCTGCTCACTTCCATGTAGTTGAGGTTGACCCTGCACTTGTCAGCCATGTCTAGGAAGAGCTGGGCATGCATCTCGTCCAGCAGGATGTAGACAGGAACTCTGCGAGCGGCGGCATCCAGCACCTCGCTCAGGAGGTCCACATCAGTGAAAATGTCCATCACAATGGCAACCACCTGAGCAGAAGAGGACATGGCAGGTTAACATCCCAGTAGGATACCTACTGCTGGCTAGCCTTTCTGCCTTTTCCCTCCTCTAGGAAGAGCACCAGGAGGTCCTCCACATGTCTGTCCTGAGGACGTCCTCTCCAAAGGAAGCATCATGCCATGTCCCAAGAGAGGAGTCTTGTCGCCTTCTCTGGTCGCCCACTCTCAGGAGACCCCAGCGACATCACCTGCTGAGGGAGGACCACTCCGCAGCCCTCTCAGGAATCTCCTTTCCCTGCCAGAGACCAGCTCCACCTGGCTTATTTGCTCAGCTCATGAATAGGCATAAGGCAATGGGCAGGTGCTCTGCCTCTCAACCCCCCACCCCCAACCCCACAGCCCAGTAGCCTTGCATCTTGTTGGAAGTTAGGGTCAGAATCCCAGTATCCAGAAGGGAAATCCTCTTCACATGTTGTCTACCTTGCATGAGGTAAAATTAAGCAATAATATTCACTATGGAGGTTAGATAAATTGATAAGTGTATTGGTTAAAACCTTTTACAGTCTAATTTAAAGGCAACTAGAGCAACAAAGAACAGCCCACAGTACAACACTGGGGGAAAAAAAATAAATGAAGAAATCACAAAAAAGAAACAGGCAACAGACACGAAGGTGACACACGTGGCATAACAACAGGCGCCTTGAAACTAGCACACCTGAAAATCAAAAAACCCAAACAGCCAAAATACTATGGCTAGAACAAAAAGATGCACAACAAGGAGTCAAAAGTCATCCTGAAGAGAGCAAACAGCTCACTTGGGGCCACGGAGGCATTCAGGATCTGTAGCTGTAGAACTATTCTGGATATGACCTCTTTATTTTTCAGACACATCATTAGCACCACTGACCTGCTTAGGGACTCCGAAGAGTAGCAGCAGGAGCAGTCCTGGGGGGCGGGGAGAAGGCAGAGGGAAGCACGGTTGGAGGGCTGACTTGGTTTCTGTTGCTTTTTTTCTGCTCAGAAATATCCTCATTCTACAGCTACAGATCCACTCTGGATTTGCCACTACTTTTTAGTTTAGACTGTATTCTCCTACCCAGTCAAGAAGCACAAAATCCTACACTAAAAAGTAAATAAATACACAGACAATCATCAAATGTGCCTTCTAATTTTCATCAAATATCATAGAACTTTAGAGTTGGAAGGGACTTCAAGGATCATCAAGTCTAACCCACTGTCAATGCAGCAATCTACAGCAATCTCTCTGTGTGTGTGTGTGTGTGTGTGTGACGTGCAACACAGGTGGAGCCCTGCCCTGTGGGGCTGAAAATTAGAAGGCACATTGATTAGGAGGTAAAAGGTGGTCTGAAAACACATTAAACCACAACAGTCCCATTAAAAAAATATCTTAGGCAGCCCATCACTAAGAAAAATCAGGCTGAAGAGAAAGCTCTTTGCCTGCCTGTGGAAGGACAGCAAAGACTGACCTCCCATTGGAGGGAGTTCCACCGCTTGGAAGCAGTGACAGAGAAGCCCGCATGTCCTCGTGCAATGCACATGCAAAGGTGGTGGGATTGACAGAAAGGCTTATCCTGATGATTTTAAAACAGAGGCAGGCTCACATGTGGGCTTTCAATTAGCTTAGACCAAAGTCATTTGGGGTTTTATAGGTCAAAGCCAACATTCTCAGTTGTTCACCAAAATGGACTGGTAGCTGGCAGAGTTGCTATAATGGGGGAGTTAAATGATCCCTGTAACTAAATTTGACTGCAGCATTTTCGGCACACTGAAGTTTCCAAACATCTTCCAAAAGTTGCCCCATGTAGTTTTAAGACATGAAATTTTGAATGTATATAGTGCTAAAATAATTAAGTGGGTTGTAGAAAAAGCAGCCATGAAAACGTGTATTTTCAAAATGAAGTTTGAACAGCTTTATACTAAGTCACTGCAAAACAATCAGTCAGTTTACAGCTGGGTTTGGAAACAAGCTCACTGTACAATAACAATACCTTGGAAAACAATATTTCATGGCTGAAAGTCAAGCGTGAACAAAAACAAAGGAAGGACAGAAGGCTGAGTCAACCCTGAGCTGGATACCTGAAATTGAACACCAGGTCCTGAACAGTTTTGGCTGCAGTACAGGAGTTTAGCCACTGCACCACAAGGCCCCTTGGGCAGGGCTCACTTTTGCTTTTGTTTTCACTTTTGCTTTAGCTCTAGTAGAGTCTGAGGTTGCTGTGCATGAGCAGGAAAAACCCTTATCTGTAATGCACAAAGATTACAACAAAGATCCATGCAGCATTAGGAGCCCAAGATGAAGCAACAATTTGCTTATTGCAGATGCTTGACTGTGGCAACCAAACAATTATATATGTGGATATCACCAAATGGCAAGTATAAAAATAAAGTAGATTATGTAATTGGAAGCAGAAGATGGAGATCTATTCTTACTGCAAAAGCAAGATTGGAGTAGACTGTGATAAAGACCATGAACTCTGAATATGAAAAATTAGAGTAAAATTGAGGATGAACACTAAAACAACCACAATGCTAAAATATAGTTGAAATAACATTCCTGATGAGTTTGTAGATCATATAAAGAATAGATTTGCATTATTAATCTTAACTGATTATGAAACAGAAGACCTGTAGATTAAACCAGAAATGTTATCAGCAAGTATTTGCTGCCTCTCATTTTCTACCAATCCAGGTGTGGCAGTCACCGTTCTGAACTCGTGCCTGGACTCGATAATGGTCTGGATGAGGGTCAATAAACTGAGGCTCAATCCAGACAAGTCTGAAGTGCTGCTGGTAGGTGCCCCGCCAGATAGGTTAAAGGGCCATCTCCCTACCTTAGACGGGATCACACTCCCCCTAAAGGATAGGGTCCGCAGCTTGGGGGTGCTCCTTGACCCCAGTCTGACCTTGGAAGCCCAGGTGGACTCGGTGTCCAGGGGTGCCTTCTTACAGCTGCGGAGAATATATCAACTTCGCCCTTACCTGGATGAGCGGAGCCTGGCAGCAGTCACTCATGCACTGGTAACAACCAGACTGGATTACTGCAATGCGCTATACGTGGGGCAGCCTTTGAAGACGGTCCGACGACTGCAACTGGCACAGAACCGGGCTGCGCGGCTGGTAAGTGGTGCTGCCGCACGGACTCATATCACGCCGGTTCTGAAAAATTTACACTGGCTGCCGGTTGCTGCTCGGGCCCAATTCAAAGTGCTTACTTTGACATATAAAGCCCTAAACGGCTTAGGACCTGGTTACCTAAAGGACCGCCTTCTTCCATATGTGCCTGCCCGTCCTCTAAGATCAGGCCAGGAGGCCCTTCTGAAGGTGCCATCCCTGAAAGAGGTGAAGGGGATGGCATGTCGGAATAGGGCCTTCTCGGTTGTTGCCCCCCAACTTTGGAACACCCTCCCTAGAGAGATCCGCCTGGCTCCGACACTCATGGCCTTTCGGCGCCAGGCAAAGACCTTTCTGTTCACCCAGCATTTTAATTAATTAATTTAAATGTTTTAATGTTTTAAGAAATATTTGAATATATGGTATTTTATACTGTCTCTTAAAATGTTTTTAATGTTTTTAAGTTTTAATGTTGTACGCCGCCCAGAAGCCACTGGCAATGGTGCGGCTAAAAAATATTGTAAATAAATAAATAAATAAGTATTTCAAGAATAATTTGTTTCTGTGATCAAAAGAAACAAAAAGCATGGAGAGGTGGCCAATGAAATTCTAAGAATTGCTAACAACAGATGAGATGCAAAAGTAAAAAGTAATAGAGCTAGAGCCACAATTTGAAATGCAACTTTCTAATGCTTTTCACTTAGGGATGCAGAGAACTATTACAGTGTTCACTGCAAAGAAATACAGGACAATACAAAAAAAGGAAAACGAGGTCTAAGGTAAGACAAAATAAACACAGAAACAAATAAAGATGAAAACAGTACACTGATATTCTGTAAGGCTAGAAGGTTGGGTTTTCTGTTTTTGTTTTGTTTTTTCATAGAAGAAACTTTGTGGAAGAAACTCCAAAACTAAGAATGTGAAATGGAAGCTGCACTCAAAGCAACGGGAGGAAATAAATCGACAGGAATACTGTAGATGGGATACCAACAGAGGCATCTGAAAGTCTAGGAGACTGAATATATCAAAATCTTAAGAAGACCATGCGTGAGACTGGGGACACCCTCAGAGGTGGTGAAAGTGGTGTACTGTCCGTCTCATGGAAACACTGAGGAACAACTGATGAAAAGAATTGATGAAAGAAATGTGATGAAAGAATTAAATTTAGAATCAGAAGCGAGAGGAGGCGCTATTTTGACAGGAAAAGAGAAGGATAAAAAGGGAAAGGAGGAAGGATGGGAGTTGGTAGATCTGGGAGAGGGAGAAGCATGTTGGACGGAAAAGGTAGAGGAAAAAGAGGGGTTGGTAGATCTGATACAAGAAGACCCCTGGACGGGAGAGTGGGTAGAGCTTAAGGTACCAAGAGAGTATGCTGGAAAAAAAACGGAAGAGACAAATATATAGGAAACCTCCTTATTAGGGAAAGACAAAGGTAAGAGAGGAAAGAAAGAAATATCAGGCTTGGATAGAGAGAGAGAAACCATGGAAGGAACGCAATCGAGGTACGGAGAGAGCTGGGAGACCCTGTGGGGCCAGTCCATTTCACCCCAACCTAAGAAAGACCTACGCCGGGCAGACGAGTCTGGGAACCACAGGTGGGCTGGATATTTCACCCCGATCAGTGAGCCCAGGACTAATAAGCTGCAGACAATCTGGGCTATGAGTCGAAACGGTACGATCATGCTTTGAATTCCTCACCCCTCCCGTTGAAGGGGAATCTGTTATTGTTGGAGGAAGAAAAGTTTGGCGCTGCCTCTGCAAAGCAAGACGCTGAAGTTATTGCTGACAAAGGACTACAGAAGTTTGTTAAATAATAAAGACGTTTTATTAGGAAAAAATGAAACATCAGAGTCATCTTCACGCCCTGCCGTCGCAAAAGGAGGAAGGGGAGCGGACAG